AAGCCTAGAGGTTACAGTGGGTGTGCTACACTCACTGTTGTTGCTGGCATATGGGGGTTTCACGATCCCCTCTTAAGCTTCCTTCAACCTTACCCTCCGCCCTGTATGTATGTATTCCCTTGACTAAACTCTCCCAATCATCCAATTTGAGTGCCACTGTTTCCTGCGGGGACCCTAGCAAGTACATCTGCTTGGACTGTTTAGAGAGATGGCAAAAAGCATTAATCTATTTATACCATCACCCACAACTCTCACTTTTCATGAAATCACATGCACTTGCAGGAATCAAAAGGTCTCAATTACAGTAACAGGAAAGTATTTTGGAGTGCTCAACGGCAGAGAGAAGTTTGCTCTTTCTCTCTCTCCCCTCTCCCCCGCCTTGTCTCCCTCTCTCATTCCAAAATATGTTCTCAATCATCCAGGAGGAACTGAGACCTCCCTGGTTAAAGCTGCCATTCTCTAAGGCGTATTAAACACCACTAGAGGTTTGCTGGCTGTGATGACTTCCCCGCGAGAACAATCCCCTCGCAAAGGGTCCCCTCTCCCCATCTCCAGAAGAGGAAAGAGATGGAGAAGCACCTGTGCGGAGCCCCAGTCCCTGCTTCATGGATGTGAAATTCCCAGGAGGCTATGCGATCACCACGGTCTTCAGCCAGCCACAAACAGTAGTGCTGTGTGCTGGTGGCTCCATTGTCCTGGGCCAGCCTAGGGGAGGAAAAGAAAGGCCTCCAGAAAGATCTTCCTTCAGGAGGAAGCAGTACTAAAAGCTCCGTGAATCAACATGAGGGGAAAGCCATCTCCATACACATATTTTGGATTTTTAAAACTGACCAAGCTAATAAAACATGGCAGAAAATGCAGCAAGACAGGGAAAGCAACGTGACCGAGAAATCATCACAGGGGAACGCCATGCGCTTGGCAGAAATATTGCTGGGTGTTATTTATTTTATTTTAATCTTTAAAATTTATTTTATTTATTTATTTTTAAAACCTACACATGCATTTTATTTGCAAGACAGAGTTACAGAGAGAGGTAGAGACAGAGAGAGGTCTTCCATCCGCTGGTTCACTCACCACATGGCTACAACTGCCAGAGCTGCGCCAATCCGAAGCCAGGAGCCAGGAGCTTCTTCCAGGTCTCCCATGTGAATGCAGGAGCCCTAAGACTTGGGCCATCCTTTACTGCTTTCCCAGGCCATAGCAGGGAGCTGGATTGGAAATGGAGCAGCCAGGACTTGAACCGGTACCCATGTGGGATACTGGCACTGCAGGCAGCAGCTTTATCCCGCTATGCCAGGGCACCGGCCCTTGGATCAAGCATCTTGATTCTCTTAACTTAAGGCTGATTACCTGTAGGAAGTCACTTGATCTTTCTTGCAACCAGAGTCCAATTCAGTTTCCATCAGCCTTCCAGCGTGCAGAGATCGTCTGGGCATAGGCTTCCAACATAGCCAGTGCTCAATAAAATAAAAAGATGGGGGATGCAAGTTGGAGGCAGGTGACTTTTGGGTAACCCATGAAAATCCATCCATCATTTGCTAAACAAAATGGTATCTGTCACTTGGCCTCTGGCCTTTTGATACTTATATCCTGAATCAGATCTGCAGAGTTTGCTTCCTTCTCAGAGCTGGGGAAGAGGCTTAGGCCACACTGGTGGTGGAGTCCATTTGACGACGGGACCCTGTTGCCACAGGTGCCAGCACACTCCTGTTTCTCTCTGTAGCCAGACTCCATCAGACACCTTTCTCTGTGAGTCTCTAATGCAGAAATGCTCAAGGCAGGTGCCTTCTGGACAGTGAACACTGTGCTAGGGGATGGAGGTTTTCCCAAGACAATGGAACCGTATCAACCTATTGCATTCTTCCTGATTTCCTAATTCTTCTGTTTCCTCCCTGAATTTCTCTTACACTTTTGTTTTTCCTTGTTGGTGACAAAATGATAGCAGAATGCTTAAAGAATATGACTGTGCAGTCAGAGGGCCTGGAGTGGAGCCTCACGTCCCCACTTGCCATCTGACACTGGACCAGCTACTTAACTTCTGTATTCCCTTTCATTGCCTATAAAATGAGGGTTAAATGAAGATCTGGTTTTTAGGTTGTAATAATTTTGTTTCTTTTTAAGATCTAGTCATTTATTTGAAAGGCAAAATTACAGAGAGGCAGAGAGAGAGAGAGAGGTCTTCCATCGCTGGTTCACTCCCCAGTTGGCCGCAATGGCTGGAGCCTTGCCAATCTGAAGCCAGGAGCTTCTTCCAGGTCTCTGACACAGGAGCAGGGCCCAAGGACTTTTCTGTCTTCCATTGCTTTCCCAGGCCAAAGCAGAAAGCTGGATAGGAAGTGGAGCAGCTGGGACTCGAACTGGTGCCCATATGGGATGCTGACACTGCAGATGACGGATTCGTCCTCTACACCATAGTGCTGGCCCCTAAATTTCTTATTAGTTACTATATGGATTTTGATGGGAAAACCTACACATGCATTGTTATTTTAGCAGACATCTTTTGTCACAATGTGCTAGTTTTTATATTATATACGTACAATGTAGTCTTATGAATTAAGCAGATGTTCCACAAGGAACCCCTAACACTTAGAGGCTCTGTCACTGGACTACATTGGAGCTTCACCAATATAGAAAGGGTTAGAACCTACCGAGTCACAAAGTACATATTCAGCCTCTGTCATGTTTCTCACTAGCTTTGTGACCTTGGGCAAGTCACCTGTTCTTCCAGTTTCAGACTTTCAACCTGTAAAATGGGACTAGGATTTTACAATGCTCAAATGAGATATTACAAATTAGGGAGCTGTAGGATGTAAAACCTTGTTAGTATTGTTACTAGTATTCTCCCTGATCAAAAATATGCAGGAAGAGTGCAATATTTAGCCTTCCTGGGTGAGGCCACCTAACTTGTTCTGGCCGATGAAATGTGGAGTGGTACAGGCCCAGCACACAGCTCCCCAGTGCTTCATCCTCTGCTGGCACCCAAAAAGCCCATGTGTGCCAGGGAGGACAGCTGGAGGATAGTAACTAAGCCATTCTGACTCAATAGGAGATCAGAAGAACCCTTCGAAGTCCCTTTATTTGCATTTCAATGAAAACCTCTGTAGACAAACCTCATAACGCAAATAAATGATTCCAATGGTAGAAATGTCAGCACTTATACTGCAGATTCATGAGGAAGATTTTTAAGTTGAAAATGTTTATTACCACCTTCAGGCATATTGATGATATGTTCGCTTCCTTTTGTGTGGTGTGGACTCAGTCCTGATTTCCTAGCTAGGATTTAAATTTCAACATTACAGTTGCCAGATTGAGGCGAAAAAGCAAAGGACACTCAGTTCAATTTGAATTTTTTAAAAATATTTACTTATTTATTTGAAAGTCAGAGTTACACACAGAGAGAAGGAGAGGCAGAGAGAGAGAGAGATCTTCCATCCACTGCTTCACTTCCCAGTTGGCTGCAACGGCCAGTGCCACACCAATCCGAAGCCAGGAGCCAGGAGCTTTATCCAGGTCTTCCCGTGTGGGTGCAGGGGCCCAAGGACTTGGGCCATCTTCTACTGCTATCCCAGGACATAGCAGAGAGCAGGATCAGAAGTGGAGCAGCCAGATCTCAAACCAGCGCCCATATGGGATGCCGGCACTGCAGGTGGCGGCTTTACCCACTACGCCACAGTGCCGGCCCCTCAGTTTGAATTTTGGATAACCAATGAACAACCTTATAAATATAAATGAGTCCCATGCAGAATTCGGAACATATTTATTCTAAGATAATTATTCATTGTTTACCCGAAATTCAAGTTTAACATGACGCCTATGAAATATTTCAGACACTATTTATACACCATTTTCCTGAACTTCAAGTTGAACTGGGCATGCTCTCTCTTGGCTGGCAACCCCAGCTACATGGTGCCTTAGTCATCAGTTGCTTTTAACCTGAAAGGGCAAGCATAAACTAGACAATCACTCTAGGCAATATGCTGCTTGACCTGGCTGCAAGCTAAGAGCTATAAAAGATTTATTCAGGGAGTATCAGTTGCCATATTTGTTGAACATTTCTGATGCACTCCCCATATCCTCATGGCCTCACCTCTCCCTGGGGCCCATGGACACTGTTTCTACTTCTGAGGTTTCTCTAGCACCAGCTCTGTATGGGTTCCATTCAGTTTTGCTCAGGAACAACCTGACAAAGCCATGGTTTGGACTCATAATACATACATCTCATCTTCCACCCTGAGCTTTCTTATGGGGCTGGAACATGATACTGTGAGACCCACTTGCTGCCCATATGTAGGACAAAATTTTCCTCAATGGGAGACAGAAGCTGTTGGGTACAGATTTTTCTCTTCTTCCCCCAGTGCAGGCTGTACTGAGATGCAGTGTGTCATTGGATTTATTTTAAGATTTATTTTATGTCTTTGAAAGAGTTACAGAGAGAGAGGGAGAGAGAGAGAGTGATAGAGAGACAGAGACAGAGAGAAACAGAGAAAGAGACTCTTACCATCTGCTGGTTCACTCCCCCCAAATGCCTGCAACAGCCAGGGCTGGGCCAGGCTGAAGCCAGGAGCCAGGAGCCAGGAGCTTCTTCCAGGTCTCCCGTGTGGGTGGCAGGGGCCCAAGGACGTGGACCATTCTCCACTGCTTTCCCAGGTACATTAGCAGGGAGCTGAATCAGAAGTGGAGCAGTCGGGACGTGAATCGGTGCCCATATGGGATGCTGGCGCTGCAGGCAGTGGCTTTACCCACTATGCCATATTGCTGGCCCCTGTCATTGAATTTTTCATAAGGCAGTCTTGAGGATTAAGGAAACAGTTACATTTAAAATCAAGCGGTGCCCAGATTTCACCTTGGGATTTGCTATCTGGAAAACCATGACTAAGTTATCCTACAACAGACACCTAGAAATGAAACAGTCTAGTCAAAGGACGTGGGCTCTGTTCTAGTCTTTGCCATTTGCTGGTTAAATGCTCAGAGAGAAAATACTTCATTTCTATTCCTCTTAGGTTCCTCATCTGAAAAGAAGGATACAGAGTTGTGAAGATTCAATGAGACAATAGGCATAGAAAGCACATGCATAGCCATCACTGATCATTTCTATGTGTTGGACACTATATTAAGTGATTCATATTTTTAAAAAAATTATTAAGCTTAATTTTATGTATTTATGGACTTCGCTGTGACATCTCAACGCATATATACAATGTGTGCTTCTCAAAACAAGGTAATTAGCTAGCATTTTGCTTTATCACTGGAGGCTTGGCGCTTCCCTTCCATTTGCTCAACAATATATATAAGCTTATGGTGAACTATAGTTTGCACACCATGCTGTGTAGCACTAGGAATTTACGCCTTCACCCTGACTCTGATTTGCTCCCTGTTATCCTGACTCCCCCATCCTCCCACCCCTCCCGCTTCTACTAATCACTGGGTTCAGACTGAGCTCTTTTTAGCTTCCACACATGAGGGAAACCACGTGGTATTTTTATTTCTGTGTCTAAGTTATTTCACTTAACATGATGATGTCCTCCAGTTCTATCCACTTTGCTGATTTCATTCTTTTTGTGACTGAATAGTATTCCATTATGTATATTGACCACATTTTCTTTATCCATTCATCTGATGATGGACACCTTGGTTGATTCCATATCTCAATAATCGTGAACAAAGCTACAATAAACATGGTAGAGCAAGGTCTCTTTGACACAATGAGTTCATATCTTTGGGGTATAAACCCAGCAGTGGGATTGCTGGATCACACAGCCATTCTGTTTCTAGCTTTCAAAGAAACCTCCATGCTGTTTTCCACAGTAGCTGTACCAATTTACATTCCCACCAGTATATAAGAGTTCTCCTTTCTCTTCAACCCGCTAGCATTTACTGTTTTCTGTCTTTATAATAGTAGCTATTCTAACAGGACTGAGAACCCTCGAACTCATGCCCATAAGGGAGGCCAGCACTGCAGACAGTGGCTTCACCCTCTGTGCCACAGCACTGGTCCCATGTCTTTTCTTTCTTTCTTTTTTTTTTTTTTTTTTTAAATCCATTTGACCAATCACTATCTTCCGACTGGGGTATTTAATCCATTTGCATTCAAGGTTAATATTTTACAGATAAGAACTAACTCCCATCATTTCATTGATTGCTTACTGATTGCTTTATATATTCTTTATTTCTTTCTGCCTCTCTTATTATTTATCTCTGTGTTTTGGTAGCTATCTGTCATGGTAAGTTTGAATTCTTTTTTTGTGTTTGTGTCTTGTCTGTTAGTGAATTTTTTTTCCTGTCACATATTTTCATGATCGTTGTTATCCTTTAACTTCTAATGTACAACTCTATTTAGGATTTCTTATAGAGCTGATCTGTTGGTGATGAATTCTCTCAGTTTCTGTTTGGGAAGTTCTTTATTTCTCCTTCACTTCTAAAGGAGAGCTTCATTGGAAATAGTATTCTCTGTTGGACTTTATTTTTCCTTCTTCTTTTTCTTTCAAAACCTTGAATAATCATCCCAGTCTCTTCTGACCTGTAGGATTTCTGCTGAGAAGAAGGGTTTTTCCTTTATATGTAACGTGATGCTTTCTCTCACTGTCTTCAGGCATCTCTCTGTGTCCTTAACTTTTGACAATTTGACTTTAATATGCCTTGAGGAAAGTCTTTTTGAGTTGAGTCTGACTGAGGTCATTTCAGCTTCCTGTATCTGGATGTCCATACTCTTTCAAGACCTAGGAGGTTTTCAACTATTATTTTATTAAATAGGTTCCCAATGCCTTGTTTCTTCTCTTCTTCTTCAAGTATCCACATGATGTAAATATTTGCTTAAGGAAGTCTCATAGATCTCCAAGCTTTCTTAATTCTTTTCACATCTTTTATGTTTATTTATTTATTTTTTTTCATTGCAAAAGTCTTATCCTCAACACTAGAAATTCTGTCTTCTTTTTGGTCTATTCTATTGAGATGCTCGTTTGTATTTTTTATTTCATTGATTGAAATATTCCACTCCAAAGTATCTGATTGATTCTTTTTATTTCTCTGTTGAATTCATAGCATGCATTGTTTCTCTCATTTCTTTCAATTATTTCTCTGTTGAATTCATAGCATGCATTGTTTCTCTTATTTCTTTCAATTGTCTATCTGTATTCTATTGCTTCTTACTGAGTTTTCTTACAGTCATTATTTTGAATTCTTTTGCAGGCATTGCATAGATTTCCTTCAAATCAGGACCTAATTTCTGAAGTATTCTTTTGAAGGTGTCATGCTTCCTTGATTGTTATGTTTCCCGTATTCCTACATTGACACCTACACATCTGCTGTAATGGTTCTTACTTCTTCATGCAGTAGCTTTAGTTAGAAAAGACTTTTTTGTTCAGTTGGAATGTAGGGTGTTAACTGAGCAATTGCTTTGGCTTTAACTGTTGCAAGATCCGTGGGCCACACAATGCCTGGCACAATACCCATTCTTCCCTCCTCCTTACTAACAGAACCTGCATTTTTGGGGGGGTAGCTATGTGCTCAGCTAAATGATACTGTTCCCAGTATGTCCCTGCAGTTGGATGTGAGCATGTGACTGAGCCCTGACTAATACATATGAATGGAACTGCTCAGTGGTAGAGCTGATGAGAGTCTTGGGGGAGGTAGGTCCCCCCTTGTCTGATTGGAAGGCAGACACGAAGGCTTTGAGTGCAGGTAGCTATTGTGGACCACAAAGTGACTCGGTAAGGATGATACAGCAACAGGAGAGCTGTTACATGAACACATACACACCTGTCTCAGATCTTAAGCTAAGAGAGAACTACCCTTCCACTTGTTTCAGCTGATGTTATTTTTATATTTGTATGTTTCTGTGGGTTTTCTTTTATTATTCTTGTCTAGGTAGCCAAATTTAATCCTAGGTGATGCAGAATTTGGCAACATTTTTGTCTATTTACTTATCCATTTGTGTATATTTCTATCATATATATATTAATTGCAATTATTATATCTAAATTGATGAAGTGAGTATCCTAACGAACTTTCGTCTCTACCTAAGTATAACTTTGGTTGGAAGTCAGGAGGAAATATGGATGTACTTATCCAAGGATCAAAACTGGTTGATATTGCTACACATATTGCAGAACAGCTGCTGTCACATAAATTTAATTTCATCTTTACAGCCAAAGCTCATCTCTCCTCAGGCAATATGCTATTTACTTCATGTAAATATATTCTTTTTTCCATCAAGACATGGTTAAAAAAAAGAATATATCCATTTACCAAGGTGAACTCTGAAATGTTGAACAGAATCTATAAGGGCTCTTTAAAAAGTTCAGAGAAAATGAAAAGCTATGCATAGATTTTTAAAATTTTGCACCGGAGGCTGGTGCCGCGACTCAATAGGCTAATCCTCCGCCTTGCAGTGTCAGCACACCAGGTTCTAGTCCCGGTCAGGACACCGGATTCTGTCCCGGTTGCTCCTCTTCCAGTCCAGCTCTCTGCTGTGGGCCGAGAGTGCGATGGAGGATGGCCCAGGTTCTTGGGCCCTGCACCTGCTTGGGAGACCAGGAGAGGCACCTGGCTCCTGGCTTTGGATCAGCGCGATATGTCGGCCACAGCGGCCATTGGGGGGTGAACCAACGGAAGGAAGACCTTTCTCTCTGTCTCTCTCTCTCACTGTCCACTCTGCCTGTCAAAAAAAATAAATTAAAATAAATTTGCACCAGAAATTATCTTTTAATTCTATAGCTCCATGAACTTTTTGAGCACCCTTGTATAACCATAGTTATGTCTGAGAACAATGGCCATGCAGATCAGACTGGTAAAGACCTGAAAATAAACATATGAACAAAACAGGCAATATTTATTCTTCACTGTCAGCCAGTTTGATAAATAAGTATGAATTACTTTTATGATTACCTGCAGTAACTGTTATGAGAAAAAATGTATATCTTTCTTACAATCTTGCTGTTTATAATCACTTCCACTTACATATCACTGAAGTTGTAGTTCAGTCTTACAAGTAATATGCATGTTGTCAAACACAAAACAAAACAAATAATTCTTGGATAATCAGGATTTTTTTTAAAAAAAGAAACCAAATAGAACTTATGTACATACATGTCTATCTTCATGTATTTCATATTTACACCTCTTTTATTTCAATATGATCAATATAAGCTACCACTTTAAAAAATAAATACTCAGTTTTTGAAATAAGTCAAATAAAAATAATTAGGTACTTGAATGAAATGAATTGCTACAGCCAGGCAATGAACATAATTTGTAGTTTTTTTTGTAGCTTTGACAAAATTAGAATTATATTGGGCTATATGTAAAGCTATATTGTACTTGTCTGATAAAAGGAAGCAAGCAAAATTTTTCTAAAATAAAAAAGGTTTAACTTGAATTTAGCGATGATTGCTACATTGCCTTTAGAAAATGGAAAACAATGGTTTCTATTATAATTTGATAACACGATGAAAGTGTTCTAGAGAACTTTTCCTGTAATGACCCTACAGAAAGCCTGAAGACATAAAATTAAATTGTAATTCAGTAAAGGCATTGTGTTGGAAAGACTACGTGAGATTATATAAGAAATTTGTTACTTGATCATCTAATTCTGTGGTTCTGCTAAAGCAGATGTACATGTGTTCAAATATGCTCACAAGTGTAACAAAGGCAATGAAACTTCCGCAGTTATGGGTAATTAATTCCTTCCACATCTCCCTTCTCCTCTTTCTCTCCCATTCAAAAAAAGTACATCTGAATGCAAATTAAAAGAACATTACTATGGGCATAATCTGCTTTAATTAGGAAAAGAAGGTAAATTTGACTAAGTTCCACTGTCTAATTTGTATTTTTTTTAATATATTTTTTGACAGGCAGAGTGGACAGTGAGAGAGAGAGACAGAGAGAAAGGTCTTCCTTTGCCGTTGGTTCACCCTCCAATGGCCGCCCCAGTGTGCCGGCGCCTCAAGGTGGAGGATTAGCCTAGTGAGCCGCGGCGCTGGCCCTAATTGTATTAATGTCAAATTATATGCAACTTGGAGCTCTTTTCCAAAATGTTCCTTCTCCTGTCTTCCTTTTCCATGATCCGGCTTAACTTAAATACTGAATTACTAAAAGACTCTATGTTTAATTTTAAAAATGTATATTTAATTAATTCATTTGAGAATCAGAGAGACAGCCAGGGTGAGGCCAGGCCAAAGCAGCTGGGAACTCAACCTAGGTTTTTCATATGGGTGTCAGTGACCAAATTACTTTGAGGCATAACCTTCTACCTCCAAGGTGCAGATTGGCAAGGAGCTGGAATCAGGAGTGGAGCCAGCATACAAACCCAGGAACCCTGATATGGGATATGGGTGTCCCAAGAGGCATCTCAACCTCAAGGTCAGATACCTGCTTCCCTGTGTTTTATTTTCATATACTAAACATGGCCGGTGCCACGGCTCAATAGGCTAATCCTTGGCCTGTGGCACCTGCACACCGGGTTCTAGTCCTGGTTGGGGCGCTGGATTCTGTCCCTGTTGCTCCTCTTCCAGTCCAGCTCTCTGCTATGGCCTGAGAGTGCAGTGGAGGATGGCCCAAGTCCTTGGGCCCTGCATCCGCATGGGAGACCAGGAGAAACACCTGGCTCCTAGCTTTGGATCAGCGTGGTGCACCAGCCGCAGCACGCCGGCCGCGGCGGCCATTGGAGGGTGAACCAACGGTAAAGGAACACCTTTCTCTCTGTCTCTCTCTCTCACTGTCCACTCTGCCTGTCAAAAAAAATTTTATATATATATATATATATATACTAAACAGAATGTTGTATTACATATAAATGAGGTTCAAAAATATTAGCAATTTAATTCCTTAGTACAAGCTTACTTTCTTTCATAAAATGAAGCAGAAAAATATTACTTCCAAGAGACTTTCTATCTTGATTCTATTCTTATCTTATACTTTACCTGATCCTCTATTTGCAGTAGAGTTAATAGCAGATGATGGTTTCGTAGAATCTCTTATTGGGATCTTGCATAGGTTAAGGCATAAAGACTGATCCAACAATAGCCTCCATTTCCTCATACCCAGAAGGAATGGGAAGAATGACTCAGAAATATTTCAGTTTACCCCATATTATTCAAACAAAAAAATTCTAAATCCACGACTTCCCTAAGAGTTCCTCCTTTCTGATATTTTCTCCATGGTGTCAAATATAAAAACACCTGACCTTTTGTAGACCTGGGAGATAAAGCCCTTACCTTGAGTAGAAAAGCAAATGACAGAAAAATGACTCATTTTATCACATAGAAGATACAAAATATATATCAATATAATTTCGTAGGTGAATAGTCAATTCTTTCTGTATAGGTACAGCATAGATCATTAAATAAGGTCATTGAAAATAGAATCTTAGAATCCTTCTAGCTTATATACTTCTGAGCGGTTCCCAAAGGGCTCATAGGTGTGTGTTGACACTGTGGTTGAGAAGTTGCTTTGGCTCAACACAAAGGGGGGAATATGCAGGACCTAGAAGAACCAGAGGCTATCCTCTGGACATCAGCATCTCAGGGACGCCTTGGAAAATATCAAAGGACATTTTCTGACACAGAAAAGTATGGAGGCACCAATTTTCACTCAAAGGAGACCTAGCCAGGCACTTGGAAAAGGACAAATAAGAGAAGTAGAAGTATCACTGAGAGTTGGCCAAAGAGAAAGGTATTCCTCTCCAATGTTGGCCTATGCCATAAAAATGCTTGGTTGCCTTTCGAAAGAGAAACTTTTCATCTACCTGTGCATGGAGACCAGGACTTGGTTGACAGTGCAGACTTCTATGTCAATGTGGAAAATATGATTTGTACATGAAAAAAATACTAAAGATGGATGTTAACAACTAGCTGCCTTGCGGCTGGCACTGTGGTGCAGCAAGTGTTACACTGCCTATGGTGCGGGCATCCCAGCTGCTCCATTTTCAATCCAGCTCCCTGCTAAGCCACCTGGGAAAGCAGCAGAAGATGACCTGAGTATTTGAGCCCTTGCCTCCGACAGATGGATGACTTCAGCCTGGCCTAGCCCAGGCTGTTGTGGCCGTTTCGGAGAGTGGATGGAAGATACCTCTTTTTGTGTCTCTCCATCCCTCTCTGCTTTTCAAATAAATAAATGAATCTAAAACAGAACAAAACAAAACAAAAACCTGCAACAAAATTGACTGCCTTGATCATGAAAATGCTTAATTAAAATTGAAAAATATTTAGTTTTCCATAACATTATTCCTTGATAGATTAGAGAGGGTGGATTAAAAGGAAAGTGTACCCAAAGTTGACATGATAAATTAACCTAATGCCTGGGTTCAACCTCAGGGCCATACCAAAGGAACTTAAGATAGAACAGGTGAATGAGTAAATATCTGCTTGGTAAAGTTGTTTCATGTTTCACTTATTTTTTAAAGATTTATTTATTATTATTATTTAATTGAAAGGCAGAGTTACAGATAGGCACAGAGAGAGAGAGAGAGAGAGAGAGAGGTCTTCCATCCACTGGTTCACTCCCCAGATGGCCACAACAGCCGGAGCTACACTTCCAAAGCCAAGAGCCTAGAGCTTCTTCCAGGTCTCCCATGTGGGTCCAGGGGCCATCTTCCATTGCTTTCCCAGGCCATAGCTGAGAGCTGGATCAGAAGTGGAGCAGCCAGATCTCGAACCAGCGCCCAGATGGGATGCCGGCACTGCAGGTGGCGGCTTTACCCACTATGCCGCAGCGCCAATCCCTCATGTTTCACTTAATTTGGGAAGAGTGTCTCTCAATGGAGAAGTTTTAGTTTTATTATTCTTCATCTATAATATTCTTTCTGGAAATTATTAGTAAATTCATTTGCTTCAATTTTGAAAAATAAAACCAAGATTTCAGAAAAAAAAAACTTGTCTTCCTTTTGCTCAGGTAGGGAGGCATGGATTTTATTCTTTTGCATAATGGGAACAGATTACTTAAATCTATATTGGGAAGAAGAGACGGAGACTGAAACACAGCCATATTGTCTACAATTTAAGGCTGTGTGGAAATCGAGCGGACATGGCCATAGTCTTCTTGGCTGCACCTGCCATCTTGCCCTCTAGGAGACCCTAGAAGTCATCCCAAAGTGTATGGGATAAAAAAAAGTCATTAATATTATCTGCTGAACTTTTCCTGGCATGTCTCTTATCTGGATTTGAAATGTTGATATTTCATGAGAAAGTCAGCTATGTCCAGCTGGCCATGGGCCACCTCCATGGAGTTTAGCATGTAAACCCTTCTTCTGCTGCCTTGGGTTGCAGAGCATCCGCTAGTCTTACTGCCCCCCAATATGTGTGTCTGTCTGTCAATCCCTGATAAATTTCACTCAGTGTAATTGAGATTTGTCTACCTCTTTCCTTGATCTCTCAGCACCTTCCATCTTTGGTGGTCAGTTCTCACACCCCAGTTTTTCCTGAAAAAGGTTGGAGCTTCAATTAACACAGGACATTGGCAGTGGTGCCATGACACAGAAGCAGAAGAAGCATTCATGACCACTGACCTGGAACCAGATTCCATAATGTGGTCCCGTGTTTAAGGACTGAGGTGGGTAATGGAGTTGACCTGTATTGTAAAAGGACTTTCTTTACTTTTACCTAATTTTTTATGAAATAAAAAGAATAAAGAAAAGTCAAGATTGAAACCATAACTTCTTTGTTCCCCATAGAAGTACTTGACTGAAAAACTTGACCCCATAATTTGGGAAGGCATGTGTGTTTCTGAGAGCTGTCCAAAAGTCCAGTGGTCTATAATTTGAGAGATAAATGTTTCCCGTTTCCCATCAAAGGGAACTGTAAACCCCCAATTATATAAAGAACCTCAGCCTGAGGCTCCGTGGTTCAGATGAGTCCATCTTCTATATATTTCAGTAGGCAGAGACTCAGGACCTTGGCAAACATCATTGACGAGGACTGGGCACATAGACACCTGTTCTCCAGCCTCCCTGGGTTCCTGAGCTACTACAGAGGTTCCTCTTCACTGCTTCTCTGCAACAGTCTCTTATTTAGGGAGACACTCCTAAATTATACCTGAGGTTCTGGCTCAGTTGCCAACATCACCCATTTTCACTCTCACAGTGGTCCCCATTGGACAGCAGCATACGCGGTTACCTTCATTTCTCATGACTTCTGTGGAAGTTGCTCTTCCAAGGGCCTTCATGGACACCAAAACCTACTTCTATCCTCATCATCTCAGAACTGAAAACATTTTTTATATGCAGGTAATCCTAAAGAAGAGCAGTCGGGATAGTTATGCATCAGCTGTCTGTGTGACTAGGAGTGGGTCACTTAAATTTCCCATGCTTCAGTTTCCTGAGTAACACAGGGGCATTAAAGTAACAGATCTTTTTAATTATAAGTGTTATGTTGGTTGAAATGAAACCAGTTTTAGATCTCTGTATTTTTCTCTAATTCACCCCTATGGGCCAGACTTCTCGAGCAAATGAAGTCTGGTCAGTATGTTCATTCTGATGCCTGGACTCTGTAGAAGGAAGGCCTGCAGGGGTGAAATTGAGTCTACTCAAGGCATCTTTTGTAGTCAAGTTAACTCATTATGAAGCTACTGTGGATTCTTTACCACCATTTTATGTTTCAAACAAGCATGTCCTGAGCTCTCTGAGACCTGCAAACCACTTGAGGGAGGCAGAGCCATTCACTGCTATGTATCCAAACCTCAGGCCTTGTGGTGGGTGTTTGGCCAGGTAGTTAAGAGGCACACATCCCCCATTGCTGTGCCTGGGTTCACGTCCCAGCGCCAGCTCCTGACTCCAGCTTCCTGCTGATGTGAATCCTGGGAGGCAATGGCAATGGCTCAAGTTATTCAGTGCTTGCCACCCACATGGGAGACCTCGGTTGAGTTTTTGGCTCCCAATTTCAGGTTGGCCTGGTTCCAGTCATTACTGGCATTTGGGGAGTGAACCAGAAACCAGCATCTGTTTCTCTGTCTCTGAGATAAATTTTTAAAAATCCCAAAACAACTCAGGCTTCTCATTTCAGGTTTTCCCCAAGCATCACATCTGAGAACAGCATTGCTCTCAACTGCCTGTAAGACTTGACTCTCACTTCTGAGAAATACAAGTACATAAAGAGACGTATGTGACCACTTATGATTCCTTAGAAACAAGTAGGTGCCTATCTTAACCAACTCAACCTTCCATCACTTGTAACTTTACAACCTTACATCATTTGTGTTCTGTCTTTTCCAAAAAAGCATTTCAATTCACTTTCATCTCTTCATTGATAACTACGATCTTGTCAGTTTGCTTATTAATTTGCCTCATGCCCCAATAATTTCTACTTAATTACTAGGAACAACTGCCAGATCAGAGGTGAAGAATGATGTCAGTATTTTGTGAGCCAGAATCATGCCCAAGCTGAGCCTCGGAGATGGAGGCATGAAGGAGCAATCAAGAGAAAACAGAGGAACCTGCTCTGTAAAGAAAACAGAACGGATGGTGGAGGCTAGAAACTGCAAGGTCTGAGACCAGGAGCCATAGACTTCCCAGTTCTCAGCGGGAATGGCTTGCCCTCATTGGCCTTCATTTGTGTTTTCATTCCCTTGTATCCTTTCTCTTCTCATTAAAATTCTGAGTGGGTCTCTGTTCCTTGACATGCCATAATTCACCAAAATCTATAGATGCCAGTTATTTAATCTTACAGTGCAGGGCAGGGACTGGCCCTGTGGCATTGTAGGTTAAGCCTCTGCCTGAGGGGCTGGCATCCCATATGGGCGCCAGTTCGAGTCCCAGCTGTTTCACTTCCAATCTAGCACCCTGAGATGGCCTGGGAAAGCAGTAGAAGATGGCCCAAGTGCTTGGGCCCCTGCACACATGTGGGAGACTCTGAGGAAGCTCCTGACCCCTGGTTTCAGATCAGCTCAGCTCCAGCCATTGCAGCCATCTGGGGAGTGAACAAGCAGATGGACAACCTCTCTCTCTGTCTCTCCTTCTCTTTTTCTGTAACTCTGACTCCAAAAAAAACAAATAAATATTAAAAAAAAAAAACTCATAGTGCAACTCCTGTCCAGGTGACTCTATCAGTAAGGGCCCCTACAGCAAATATGTAGACGCAAACTCAACTTCGACAACTTGAAGATTTATAGTAACAGTTTGCAGAAATGTGAGATAGAATGGAGCTGCAAGGGGTAGTACAGTGACCCAGGAGAATTAACTGGTTTACCACACCTGGGCCTGCAAGGCTGTATAGGGAAGGAGGCGTCTCATGCAGAGAAATGCCTAGAGTAGGGGCAATGACTTAGTTCAGGGAACACAGCCAGCCTAAGGCAACCTCACTGGGAAGGGTTAGGGGAAATCCATCCCAACCGCAGTCTCCTCCCTCCAGAGTCCTCCTAGGGCTCCTCATTGGCTGAGGCCCTCAGAAGCCACAGAGTTCAAAGAAGATGACTGATGTGTCCATACAGAGGAACTTCAAAAGTTTCATAGAGGGGCCAGCACTGTGGCATAGAGGGTTAAGCCACCACCTGCAGCAGTGGCGTCCCATGTGGGTGCTGGTTCATGTTCTGCCTGCTCCACTTCCACCAGCACCCAGCTAATGCACTTGGGAAAAACAACAGAGGATGGTCCAAGTGTCTGGGTCCCTGCTACCCATGTGGGAGACCCAAGGATGCTCCAGGCTCTGGCTTGGCCCTGGTCATTGCAGTCATCTAGGGAGTGAAGCGCAGATGGGAGATTTCATTGTCTGTCTCTCCCTCTCTCTCTCTGTGCAGCTCTGCTTTTCAAATAAATAAGTAAATCTTTTTAAAAAGTTCACAGAAAAATGAAATTAAAAGACAAGTTTATTTTGATACAAAAAAAGTGTAAATCCATGCATATAAGGGATCCTATTCAAAATGTTCATGGAGAATGTGCATTATCAGGAAACTGCATGGATTTCACACTAGGATAAGTTTCTCTCCCTCTCTCTCTCTCTCTCTCTCTCTTTTTTTTTTTTTTTTTTTTACAGGCAGAGTGGACAGTGAGAGAGAGAGACAGAGAGAAAGGTCTTCCTTTCACTGTTGGTTCACCCTCCAATGGCCGCCGCGGCTGGCGCACTGTGGCCGGTGTACCACGCCGATCTGAAGCCAGGAGCCAGGTGCTTCTCCTGGTCTCCCATGCGGGTGCAGGGCCCAAGCACTTGGGCCATCCTCCACTGCACTCCCGGGCCACAGCAGAGAGCTGGCCTGGAAGAGGAGCAACCGGGACAGAATCCGGCGCCCTGACCAGGACTAGAACCCGGTGTGCCAGCGCCGCAGGAGGAGGATTAGCCTATTGAGCCGTGGCATCGGCCTAAGTTTCTCTTTTAATTCCATATTCCACAGACTTTTTGAAGTCCCCAGTTTCACAGGGCAGAGTGGGATGGACAGATTGGCTATGTTGGTATCCACTGGGCTCTATTTCTCACTGCGACTTCCTCAGAAGATGGTTAGCTCTCTTGTGCTCGTGGCCTTGGGGCAGAAGTGGCTGTCTTTCTAGAAGGTGAGGGGTAGGCCCTGCCTTGCCAAACACCAGCACGCCAGACTGCCTGCAGCATCCTCGCAGCCAGAGCCGGGCAGAGGCTGCTTCATCCACCTGCCTCCGGGTGTCAGCCTGGGAGGAGACGCCTGTCCTGGAAAAGGCCGCAGTGGGCAGTGATGAGAAGTGGCAGCGAGTGTGAAATCCTGCCACTGGCCAGCAACAACTGGAGACCAGGCTGAAAACAGCACAGGCAGCTCCTGGCTGCAGCACAGAGATGGAGATCTGCTTTCACCAAGGCCCTCCTTCGCAGCCATTTGGAGGACTTGTGGAAGTGGTACTGGGTGGTGGTGGTGGTGTTTTTCCAAACATCCAGTCCCAAAGGAACCCTGAGCCACAGTGCCCTTCTTTGTCACTGGGGAAGATGGGGCTTTTCTGCCAGGGCTGAGAAAGCTCGGTGAAGGGCACAGGCAGGTGACAACGTAGAGGGACCAGGATCTGAAAGAAATCTGCATGGCAGACAAAAGGGAGAGAGCTGCCCCACTCTCCCAACGAATTTTCTTTCTCCATGCGGAGAATACAAATATCCCCTTTCAATTTTGTCTCTAGGCCTGAGGAAAGTAGATTGTCATGTTCTCAGTTTTCAAATTGAGTCTGTGAAATCCAATGTGGTTGCCTACATTTGAGTTCCCAAAGGAATAAATGCATTTTCTTCACTCTCTCTATCAACATCTCACCACCTCTCTCTTGAAACCACGAAAAAATTCCATTAAGTGCTGCTGTCCTGCTATTTTCATTGCAACAGAAGTATCACAACCCTCAGAAAGGATCACCAATTCTAGAGCCTAAGTTTGGAGTTGATAGAATTCAACAGAGTGACACAGCGTTTCTCCTGTGTATGAGGCACTCAGAATTCTAAGAGGAATTTGAAATGCCTTTCAAGATAGGGAGGCATAAACACAGTGTAATAAGAAACATGGTGCAATAAGAAAAATAACACTCCTCCTATGCTCAAACTTCTGTGCACCAAACTAAACTCTTAATTCCACTTTCTATGATCTTTTTGAAATACCCTCATATTATAAATGGTTAGGTCATTGTACTATAAATGGTTAGGTCATTGTATAAGAAAGGGAATGGAGGAAGTGGGCATTTGATGTAGCAGTTGAGAGGTCATTTGGGATAACCACATCCCATTTCAGAGTGCCTAGGTTCAAGTCTTGGCTCTGCTTTCATTTCCAGCTTCTTGCCAATGTGCACCCAAGGAGGCAGCAAGTGTTGGCTCAAGTACTTGGGTCTCTGACACCCATGTGGGAGCTCTGGATTGAGTTTCCAGCTTGAACCAGACCTGGCTGTTGTAAGCATTCAGGGAATAAACCAGCGATGGACAATGTCTGTCTGTCTGTCTCTCTCTCTCTCTCCCTTTCTCTCTTTTTCCTCCTCCTTCCCTCCCTCTCCCTTTCAAATAAAATGAAAATAAATAAATAAAATTTAAATAACCCAAAACTTAAGTGGACAAAACAGCTTCCTGTAGTAAAAGGAATATGAACTCGGCTTTACAAGATGAAGAGGAGGTTACGATGGGACAAAGTGTGGGAGAAGCACTCCAAGCCATGGGAACAGGATACACAAAAATGAAGGCAAAGCAGCCCAAAGCAGCAAGCTGTGTCTCAGGAACTACAAGTGAGTCAGTGCTGCTGAAGCATAGCACTCTCAGGGAGGAGCTGGAGCAGCAGGTGATGCCGGGCAGTCAGCAAGGGAAGATCAGCAGGGGAACAACCCCAGTCATCTAACAGCATGCAACACGCTCAGAACCGTTTCCCTGGGGTTAGCATTTGGTAACACACCCAAAATACATGTCTCAGCCTCTGATTCCAGCTCCCTCTTCACGACCACCCTGGGAGGCAACAGGTGATGGCTCAAACAGGTGGGTACCTGCCACCTTTGTGAGAGAACTGAATTGAGTTCTAGGCTCCTGGCTTCTGGCACAGCCCTGGCTGTTGTAGGCATTTGGGGAATGAACCCATATATGAGAACTCTTTCTTGGTCTGTCTCTGTCTTTCTCTGTCTCTTCACCTTTCAAATAAATAAAGTGATTTCTTTTCTGCTTGTGTTTTATTTACTAATTAAATTAGAACATCTGTCTCTATAGAGCTTCATCTCAGTTCCATTCTGATACAAGTGCTTGCATTGGAGGGACAGCGGCATTATCCATCATATTGAGAGTTGGGCGTCATCAGGGTGCTCCCTGGGGGAGTGTCCCTCAAGTGAACAGTGTTTTGTGGTGACAAAGCCAGCAGAATAGGTGCTTCTAACAGCTACAGAGAGACCACAACGAGTTTAAAGCAGGCTGTGAGATGGCCAGATTTGCATTCAGCAAGGTCTCCCAGATGGTGTGATGAAGATTTGTTCATGTTAAATAGTGGGAGGCATGATGATGTATTCATTTCCTACGGCTGATGACAGAAATTACCACAAACTCAGTGGCTGGAAACAACAGAAGTTTATTCTCTCACAGTTATGGGAGCTGGCAGTCTGAAATGCAGGTGTCAGCAGGGCTGCGCAACCGCCGAGGCCCCAGGAAGATGCCTTCCTTGCCCCTTCCAGCTCTGAGGGATGTTGGCTGCTCCTGGCTTCCTTGGCTTAGGGCCACATCACTCCAATCTCTACCTCCATCTTCCTAACGCCTTCTCTTGTCTGTCTGCTCTTCTACATCCTTTAAGGATGCTTTGAATTGCATTTAGGACCCACCCAAGGAATCTGGGGTGATCTCATCTCAAGATCCTTGATTACATCATACAGACTCTTCTTCCAAACAAGGTAGTGTTCACAGGTTTCAGGGATTTGGACGTGGGCGTAGCTTTTGGGGGGCCACCACCCTACCCACTGCACAGAAGAAACAGAAGAATTTCTTTTCTCGACCCATGAGCAGGATACCAGCTGCATTAGGGCCTCATGGGCTGCTGCACACTATCGTCCACTGGACTAGACTTGTAGACCTGGTTAGGAGGTGTCAGCTACCATGAGGATGACCTTATGATGGGGTTGTTGGGACTAGAATGAGCATGGTCGAGACTCATCGACAGTAGAGGAGGGTGAAGATGGGCATCTGGTTCCCAGTTACCATCAGGGGGTCACTGACTGAGATGGAAATCTGCGAGGAAGTGTAGTATCTCAGGAATCAGATGGAAGGTCTAGGGAAGTTGTTCTGTTCAGCTCTCACACAGGATTCAGGATCTCTCTCTCTGCCACCTTCTAAAAGTGCCCATGTTATCTGTTTCCTTTGCAATAATGAAATGAGAGAAGAGGTTTGTTGCTGGGTTCACTGTAATTCCCAGAACCACATAGAATGCCTTGTATGTTGAAGATGCTCAGTACTTATATGTATGTGTAGGTTTTTGACTGTTCTTGTTTTTCTGAAGATTTACTTGTTTATTCACTTGAAAAGCAGTTAGAGAGAGAGAGAGAGAGAGAGAGAGAGAGAGAGAGATCTTCCTTCCGTTGGTTCACTTCCCAGATGACTGCAATGGCTAAGGTTAGGCCAAGCTGAAGCCAGGATCCCGATCTCCTTGTGTGAGGCAGAGGCCCAAGTTCTTGGGTTACCCTCTGCTGATTTCCCATGCTCATCAGCAGAGCACTTGATCAGAAGTGGAGCAGCTAGGACCTGAATTGGCACTCTGATATGGGATGTCAGTGTTGGACATCCCACATCACTGGTTTTTAATCTACTTTATTAAGGTACGATTGGCACACAAAAAGCTGTACATGTTCAATGCATACAATTTGATGTTTTTAGGGATCATGTGCTTTCTTGTAAATGTGTGGTTTTGAATGAATGGATACATGACTGAGGAATTTCAGTAACAGAAAGATGTAGGGAATTAGTTAGGAATGACAATGGTGGAAACTTAACAACAGTTGTTACAATGGTTACTCTTCCATTTGGGGCAGCTCTAATTATAAGTTCCTCTTTATATAATCACTTGTTTTGTTCCCTAGAGTCACTGGATTGGATCTAAGTCTTCCT